GTTGTAAAGCGATCGCTGCTATGGGGGAAGGTGATACTAAATTTTCAAAAATCTTCCCTGTGCGTTACTGCCATCAGGTGTAAAGTGGGTTTGGGGGAAAAGAAAAAAAAACCCTAACATCTTCCTTCTGGTTTCCATTTGAGGTAATTCTCTTGTTAAACGGTACTGACGTCTCTTGGAGGGTATTTAGACATATGGACAACAACTGGACTAACACTGTCAGGTAGCTCACGAGTTATTTGTCAACATGAGCCGCAGAGAATGTCTTTTATAACACCCTTGGTTTGGGAAAAACAAATAAACCAGTAGGACACACTTCTGTTAATTTATACCAGGGAACACAAGCATCCACCTTACCAACCTCAGGCAAAGCGGCTAGGACAGCCGCTCACCGAGGAGCCGTTTTCCCCGTGTACCGGGACGGGGTTCCTTCCCCGCGGCGGCAGCCCGGGTGGGTGTCAGCAGCCGCCCCCGTTCCCCCCGAGGCCGGAGCCAGGGGACTCGGACTCGACGAGCCCTTACGTAGATTTTCAATGTTTAAATGCGACGGTAGATAAAGTACAAGATGGGGAAGGACCAGCGTACGAAAGGCAGTTATTTAGCTTTCGAAGTCACTCCAACCGTGGGCAAAGTCACGGCGTTACTCGCGCGGGGTCAGCACGCTAGGGACATTGCCCGGCGGATTTCAGGAGGCAGTTCCCGAATCATGGGACAATTTGGCCGTTTCAGGGTCATTAGCCTTGTTTTCCATCGCGATCCAGGAGACGCTCCGGTCTCCTCGCTGGGCACCGGAGAGGAGCGTCCGAGGTCTCTCGGGACTGTGGGTTATGAGGATCGGCAGTTTTAGCCACCCCCCAATTCTTCTCCCTCCCCCAAGCAAATGGTCGTGCTTGGAAGAAATAAGCTGCATCCACATCCCCTGTCCGTCCGTCTGTGTGTCCCCCCTCTTTTACGGGATACGGTTCAGCCCCAGGCTGATGCGCTGTGGGACAGCGTGAACAGAGTCGCGGTGGGGAGGAGGATGGAGAAAGATTTTAACAAATCTTCTTGATACACGCTGGAAATAAAACCCAAACAATCCCACAAACAGACAAAAAAAAAAAAAAGCAGAAAAATACCCCAGACCCCCAATCCTCTTACATCAGGAGACAGAGGCACTTAAAAACCGCCCGCAAAGTGGATGTGGAGCGACGGGGTTTATTTCTTTCCCAGGGAGCGGGACTATTCCTAATCTCGCTAGTTCCCTGAAAAAAAAAAAAAAAAAAAAAAAAAAAAAAAAAAAAAAAAAGCAGAGAGCGCCTGGCGGGGGGGCGAGAAGGGTTGTAGAGTCTTTCCTAAAACCATAAGGGACGCTCAAAAGCCTAAAATAATTGCCAAACCAGTCGGTGCGAGAGTTCGGCTACAATAGTTGTTTAAAATGAAGATTGCACTGGCAAGGCAACCGTCGGAATATTTCGAGGAAGAAGAAACAGTCTCGGTTTCCAAAAGAAGAAAAATGTCAACAATAACAACAGCAACCAAAAAAAGCGCCTTTGAAACACCCCAACCCTTTTGCTCCACAGAGGGCTGCAGCTCGAAGCGCAGCTTCGCTGCTTATCACCTTAAATCTCCCTTCGGTTAAAAGCTTTCCCTGTGTTCATTTGGGTAAATAAAGGAAGGATGGAAGGAGAGGCATTCAACAACTCCTCTGGGTGTACAGGCGTCTACAAGCAGCAGAGAAATGGATCCACGTAGTCTCAAATGTTCTTTTGATTGTCTTGTTTACCGAAGCGACCCGTTGTTAAACAAACACGAACGCAAGTCATTTAGTGAAGGTATGGATTAAAAAAAAAAAAAAAAAAAAAAAAAGCACGGCTCCCCGCCCCCCGTCATGTTGTAAAGCGATCGCTGCTATGGGGGAAGGTGATACTGAATTTTCAAAAATCTTCCCTGTGCGTTACTGCCATCAGGTGTAAAGTGGGTTTGGGGGAAAAGAAAAAAAAACCCTAACATCTTCCTTCTGGTTTCCATTTGAGGTAATTCTCTTGTTAAACGGTACTGACGTCTCTTGGAGGGTATTTAGACATATGGACAACAACTGGACTAACACTGTCAGGTAGCTCACGAGTTATTTGTCAACATGAGCCGCAGAGAATGTCTTTTATAACACCCTTGGTTTGGGAAAAACAAATAAACCAGTAGGACACACTTCTGTTAATTTATACCAGGGAACACAAGCATCCACCTTACCAACCTCAGGCAAAGCGGCTAGGACAGCCGCTCACCGAGGAGCCGTTTTCCCCGTGTACCGGGACGGGGTTCCTTCCCCGCGGCGGCAGCCCGGGTGGGTGTCAGCAGCCGCCCCCGTTCCCCCCGAGGCCGGAGCCAGGGGACTCGGACTCGACGAGCCCTTACGTAGATTTTCAATGTTTAAATGCGACGGTAGATAAAGTACAAGATGGGGAAGGACCAGCGTACGAAAGGCAGTTATTTAGCTTTCGAAGTCACTCCAACCGTGGGCAAAGTCACGGCGTTACTCGCGCGGGGTCAGCACGCTAGGGACATTGCCCGGCGGATTTCAGGAGGCAGTTCCCGAATCATGGGACAATTTGGCCGTTTCAGGGTCATTAGCCTTGTTTTCCATCGCCCCAAATACGCGACTTCTGAGAGCGGCGATCGGGTCTGGCTCTGCCCTGCTCAGGTACGCGGAGCCAGGCGGCCCACGGTAGCTGAATTCGCGGTCTTCGTTCCCAGTCAGGAGCCCCGTGTCCCTCGTGCGGGGCTCGGCGGGGCCACCGCCGCCCCCCGATGAGGCTCCTCTGTCCGGAGGGGAGTACGTGATGCGGCTCAACCAGCAGCGGGAACGCACCGCGACGGGATGACGGTGCCGCCGCCGATGCTCGGCGGACCCGCCGTCGGAGCGGAGTTTACAACAGCGAGCGCTCTGACGGCGCGGAGGGGACACCTGCGAGCGGCGGGGCTAAGCCCCGGGGGGGCACAGAGGCTCCCGGCCCCCCGCCGCCCCGTGTCCTC